ATTGAGGCTTCAAAGTAGAGAAAGCTTTTCAAAGCTTAAAAGATGCTTTTATAACAGCTCCAATTTTGATACATCTAAATTTCAATAAGCCATATTTTATGGAGTTCAATACCTCAGACTTTGTATTAGAAGCAATCTTGTCGCAATATGGAGAAGATGACTAATCTCATGCAATTACATTCCATTCTAAAAAATTCTCAGCAATAAAAATAAACTACAAAATCCATGATAAAGAGTTACTTGCCATTGTGGATTCTTTCCAAGAATGGCGCCACTTTCTTGAAAGTACCTGTCATCAGGTGATTGTATATACAAATCATAAGAATCTTAAATACTTCATGTTGGCCCAATTCTTGAACCATCGCCAAGTACATTGGAGTATATCTTGATCATGATCTAATTTTTGCATCATGTATTGATCCAAGAGCCAATAAGGGTTATGAGATGCATTATCAAGATATTCCTACTTTGAACCAAAAGTAGGCGAGGCAGCATGTGATCAACAATGAACAACTTTGTTAAAGCTCAAGCAACCAATGTATCAATGCATGTAGATTTATTATTTCTTGATCACATTTATAATGCCTCAAATATGAACCTTCTTATTCTTAATATTACGCGTCTTGCCAACAATCTTCTTAAGGAGTCTCCTAAATTCAAATATAAGATAACTTCTTGTTCTTTGAAGAATGTTTGTTCATTCTTAAAGGCCCAACTTGCTTGCACGTTCTTCAAACATGCCATAACTTCCTTGTAGCCAAACATTTTGGATTCAAGAAGACCTTAGAACTTTTGTCTAGAGACTTTTTGGTGGTCTAAAATGTGGAAGGATATTAAGAAATTTGTACTACTATGTGATACTTCTTGAAGGTCAAAGAATCCTTGACATCTGCCATATGGACTTCTTCAACCTCTTCTTATTCCAAGATAACCATGGTCATCTATCTCCATGGATTTCATTATAGATCTTCCATCATCAAGTTCATTTGACATTATCTTCGTAGTTGTTGATCAATTGACCAAGATGACACATTTTATACCTTGTAAGAAGTCAATTATTGATAAAGAGATGGCAAGTCTCTTTATTGACAATGTCTATTCTTACCACGAGTTGCCGGATGACATTGTTTCAATTCGTGGACCACAATTTGTGTCAAGGTTTTGGAAGGCTTTCTTCAAGATTCTTAAGATTGACATGAATCTTTCTTCTATCTTTTACCTTCAAATTAATGGTCAAACGGAATGGGTCAATGACATTCTTGAGCAATATTTGAAGTGCACCATCAACTATCAACAAGAAGATTGGACTTCATACTTGTCGTTGGTAGAGTTTGCATATAACAATGTAATCCATGCATCTATACAACAGATGCCATTCTACTCAAACTACAATCATCATCCAAAATTGGATATGCTAGAGCCTTTAAAGTTGGTAAATCTAGCAGCAAAGGAATTTGCTACAAAGATGGCCGAACTTCAAGCAACCATGAAGACTCACCTAGAATAAGCTCAACAACATTATAAGTTATTGGTAGATGAATTGAAGAAAGAACATCCTCTATTCCAAGTTGGTAATAAAGTGTGGCTTCTTTGGTGCAATATAAAAACTAAAAGGCCATGTGATAAATTAAACTACTAAAGGTTAGAACCATTTGTGATTCAAAAATAAATCAATAACGTAACTTATTGCTTGGAATTACTTTCATCTATAAAAATTCATCTAATCTTTCATGTTTCACTTTTAGAAAGGTATAAAGAATCAAACATACCAAGTCAAAGACAACCACCACCTCCTATGGTTGAAATCAATGATCATGTTGAATTTGAGATAGAAGAGGTATTAGATTTAAGGATAAGACATTGAAGGCTTGAATATTTGGTCCATTCGCATGGATATGATATCAATAATTGCACATGAGAACTAGCTAGTAATCTTTTAAATGTACAAATGAAGGTTCAAAAGTTTTATCAACGACATCCATCCAGACCAAAAGCGGCAATATGAAGAATAGTAGCTTAGTAAGATGGCTTCACCATGAAGATTCTTAGTTCTTGACTTCATAAAGGAGAAGAAGAGACAGCCTCTAAAGAGGTAATTTTTTTAAATCTTTAGAATAGTATAAATCAGTAGTTCGAATTCATGACCATAGCCAACTTATATTCTTTTGGTCTTGTTTACTTTATGTGATATGAATAGTCAAGAGATAGATACTTTGTCGGTCATACCATCTCAATTAAGTAGTTCCCGGAGATGATCTCGAGATAAAGAGCCACTTGAACTACAAAGATGTCAAAAGATACTCAGTAATAGGTTGTTGGTAATTGTGTTTGAAGTAGAATGTATCTATAAAGGACATCTAGAAAAAATAGACAATTTCATAATAAAGATATCAAAATTTAAACTTGATCACAAGTAGAAGGCTTGGAGCACTATTAATGGCTATGGGGGCCTATAAACCATTTGCTTCACAAAAAATAATTGGAATATATAGCGGACACCATTCAATAGATCTTCAACTTCTTGTGCATATATTGACTTGTAGCAACATTACTTCTCAGAAACCTCAAAGCTAAAGGAGGAGGTAATGTCATAGACATACAATTGAAGAAGGTTCTATGAGCTTCTAAAAGGTCCTAAGAAGGTTCTTGTAGATCCTAAAAGATTCCAAGAGATTTTAGTAGGTTCTAAGAAGATTTTAGAAGGTTCCAATACATTCTAAAAAAATTCTAGAAGGTCATAGGAGATCCTAGAAGCTTATAAGAGGCTTTAGATGATTTAGAAAGTTGTCAAAGAAAGATATTAGGCTTGCTTTATTTCCAAGCCTAATAGAAAATTCTCAAGAAGCTTCTTAGGACCTAGTATATATAAGAATCGAGGCTGAGGAGATTCTCAGTCTTGACAACTTACTTCTTATGTTCTAGCCAGGATCTTCTTACCTTGTATCCAATTATTATTCTAATGTTGAGCTAACTCTATTTCTTGGTTTTGAATCCTTGTCTTATATATGGTTCCTAACAAAAATAAAAGAAGCTTTACAAAGTAAAAGACTTAAAAGAAATTCCAATGCAAAGAGATTTTATAAAAGAAAACTTTAAGAAACTTGTATGTAGAAGATACAAGGCTTTAAACAATCAAACCTAATTGATTAATCTTTTTAAAATGGATTTCCTATTAAGTGATTGCAAATCACTCACATAAAATAAAAAAGGATATTAAGACATGGTGAATCTTAAGAAATTCAATGGTTATGGCTAAGTCTACATGGATACACAAATCTCCATAATTCATCCAAAAAAAGGTAAACTTTTTAAATCAAAGAAAAATTTTTGAAGCTTAGAAAAGATGAAGACCATACACACAAAAAAAAAAACAAAAAAACAAAAAAAAAAAAAACAAAAAAAAAAAAAAAACATAACAAATAAAAAAAAAACAAAAACAACATTTCCAAAAAAAATATAAAGTTTTGAACTAAACAACATTTCCAAAAAAAATATAAAGTTTTGAACTAAGTAGAAGAATAGAAGCCCTCATACAATCTAAGAAGTGATAGAGTGCAAACATCACCTAGAATATTTTTTTAAAAAAAATCTATTAAGTTTATTGCTTATCCCTTCAAAAGAAAAACTAAAGACTCAAAGTGTCAATGAAGACATTGACTCTTCAAAGTGGAGAAGAATATGAGGATCAAAAGTTGACTCTTATCCCTACTTTGTTGGTTTTTGAAAAAAAAAAAGGTGCCAAGAGAAAAGATGTGTCTTAAACCCATGGGTGAGTCAATGTGCCCTGACAAAGGAGCAAATGAGAGGGCCACCACCCACCCCTGGGTCTAATAGCATAAGGTGATGTGGGATTAGCTTTGGAATAAGGGAGGTTGGTACCAGGCACTGAATAAGCGCCGCAACCACCTCGTCTCCTTAATCGTCTGGGTGCATTGAGTTGCTCCCCGAGGCCTAAGACAAAGGCAGCAAAGGAAACTGCTAAAAATTGTTAAAATAGCCAAATGGGGAGTCGGACTCTACCAGTAGGTAGTCCAGGTGAAAGTCAACACCAGAATGCAGCGAGACAAAATGTCGCAGCACGACACCGAGTCACAACTCAACATAGGGCTACGACGCGACGCAGAGTTGCGATCTGGCTCTGAGGCGCAGCACAACCCCAAATGTCATTGGGGCAAGGTCTGCCCAGGCTATTAGGATTTCGAAGAGGACATAGAGGGGATGCTTTGGGGTTTGTTTTAAAGGTTAAGTACTGACCTTACTCTTGTATTTCAGCAAAAAGACTAAAGTGAAGAGCAAGGCCATTACATCTGCACGGGGACTGGTCTCCTTGCAGTGCCCGAACGCCGCATGAATCGTGCCGATTACTTGTTTGTTGCCAACACACAGTTACGTGCGTCACGCGAGGTTGCACAGTTGTTCCTCGTCTCCATGGCTGCGCTGTGCTGGGCTGTACCCTACGAATACCTTGTTGTAATGCTGCGGTAAAGTGGGGTCTGTGGAAGGCGGAGATGCAGGTTGCTCGCACTGATTTCAAGAGGGCTAGAGACAAAGTGATGCGCAAATAGAAGGCGGGTGTGCCCAAGAATTCACACAAGTCGAACATCCAGTGCTGGTGGTAACCCGTCGTGTATGTCTGCCTAAGTGGCTGTTGATTACATTGTATCGGGATCGATCTCATCCTGACTAGGATCCTTTTCTCAATAGAAGTTCGCTTCGTGCGTATGGTTTGATGAATCAGTGGAGTGAGTAGAAGAGAGTGGTCAGACGTTCGACTTCTAAGCTACTAGACGTTACAATTTACGACCTTCACGCCATGCCTATTCGTGACTCCCAAAGGGCTGTGTTCCACATTCCCTGGTGTACACCTCAGCTTGCTCTGGAGGGAAGTTTGAAAACAGCCTCTTCTAATCGCCGACAATGCGGAGCACCTGTTCTCTAGCATAAAGAATTTGAAAACAGAAAAATAATAAGGAATAAAGAAATGAATCGACCAACATGCTCGATACGCAGATTGTATGCCGGGCTATCTCATGCGGACCCAGATGGCCCTTCCGGGAACACCGTCTTGGACAGGGAAGAGCATGTAATAGCTCGGGGGAGCCACGTTGGCGTTGGGAGGAGCGGTGACGGTGATAGAGTAGATGCCACCATCGTCTAACACTGCCTCCGTCACCTTCAGTTTCAGCATTCTCTGTCCCATGGAGTACGAGTGCGTAGCGAAAGGAGCGCTGAGCATGTTCACCTCAAAGGCGCCTTGCAGTCTCTCCACCATGAACGTCATTGTGAAGGTCCGGCCGTACCGAATGCTTCCTGAGGCGTACGCGTACATGGGCCGGATGTTGTTCTTATTGGCTGCGAGGTATGCGGGTGAGTAGGCTTCAACCCTGAGCTCCGTGGGGAAGAGGCCGTTGAGTTCGTAATACGCGTGGGTGTTGCTTCCGGCCACCAGATCTCTTCCGTCGGAGAGCAGATTGGCTGTGGAGTGGTAGACTCGAGGAATGGAGGCCGCGGCCAGCACTGTGAACCTGTTTCTGGCGTTTTTGGTGGCGTATTTGACGGGAGTCAATACTGCGCCGAAGGCTTTTCCTCACCCTTGAGAGCCCTTGTCCGCTCCATTGATGATCAGCACATCCCCGTCGGGCAAATTAACCATGTCGCCCATGGTGCGCCGCACTGGCATGTCTTCCATGACCCACTCGGGCTGTTTAGCTCCCACATCGATTTGCCCGCAGGTTTGGGAAGCGGGGTACCGGGCGTCGGGGTCGAGGAACGCAGCCTCATTGGCGCCTCCGCAAACGAGGACCTCCACGAGAGAGAAGCTGTTTGCCTGGTCTAGAGGAAGCATCACCGACGATCCAGCGGACGGGTAGTTCCTAGGTTCTCCGGGGATGGGGGGGAAACGTCTTCACCACGGTGTCGGTGTTGTAATTCAGCTCGATGGAGTCGCGGTTGGCGAAGATGTAGATGTTTCCGTTGGGCAGGAGGTGGAGGAAGGGGTACATGTTGTCGCCTTGTCTGGTTCCCGTGTCCTTGAGCAGTTGAAGGGCGAACGCGCCTTCTCTGCTGGACCTCTTGGTACACTAATTATTTTAATCTATATAAGGATTTAAGTAAATAACATATCTTATTTCTATGACCTAGTATAATAAAGCCTTTGGATTGAATGATATAAATCACTTCTTTATGAATCCCATTTAAAAAGTCCATAATAACATCCATTTGATGAATATGGAAGTTGTAATGAGTAGCTAAAACAAAGAGAAGGCAAAGTGATGTCATTTTGATGACGAGAGAAAAAGTCTCATGATAATCAAGGCTTTATTATATCAAGAAATCTCAAGCAACAAACTGTGCTTCAAAGCATGTTAAAAAAACATGAAAATCATATTTCCAATGAAATAGCCATTTAGTACTCAAAATAAAGCAATTAGAAGGGCGAGATGTGTGAGACACTGAATTAACTTACTTGGATATTTAGTATTAAAAATGCACTTATTGTGCTTAAAAACACAGATTTTGTGATTTAGTAGTAGAATTTTAGGAAAAAATAGAAAATAGATTGCTGATAGGAGACATGCAACCTAGGATACAATTTAGTAAGAAAAATTCTACAAAGAATATATGTTTTTAGTTAGCTAATCTTAAATGAAGGACCTAGGGAAGTAGTCTTGATATCAAATATATATATATATATATATATATAATTTTATTAATATTTATTATATATATATAGTTATATAGGTTATATAAAAAAATAAAAACAAAATAAAAAAAAAATAAAAAGATCAATAGAGAATAGAAAGAAGAATAGATAAGAGAAGGAAGGAAAGAGAAAGAGGAGAAGGGAAAGAAATCAGGATGGGAGAAGAAAAGAAGGACAGAAGAAAAGGAAAAGAAACGAAAAGAAACGAAAAGGAAAATAAAATAAAATAAAAAATATAAATATAAATATAAAAGTTGATCAAGATGGCGAGAGGCTGCCCATGAACGGCGGCAGCCTCCTCGTCGAAAGGGGTCTGGCCGTCCGGATCCTTATATCTCTTTTTTTTATTTTTTATTTTTTGGATTGCCGTCGGAGCGATGCGGCTCTGGTTGTTGGAGCATTGTCCAGTGTGTAATCCTTGTGAAGCTCCGAAGGTGGGATAGCTACTGTGTGCGGAGTGTGCTAGTGGTGAGCCGCAGGTGGCTCGTTTCATTCGATGATGGAGGCATTGGCGCCGGAGGTGCGGCGGCGCTACGGTGAAGGATCAAGACTGAGTGCGGTGACATTGTTGTCAAGATCGGATTAGTGGTTGTGTACGGAAGCCACTGCTGCATTCGATTTTTTGTGATCATCGAAGGCACTGATCTATCTTCCTTGTTGGTTACGGTGCAAGGCGGCAGCGAAAGTGTGTGTTGTAGAGCGGTGCTTTGGATCTTGTTGTTCATATTGCTCTTCTCGTTACCTGACAACGGTGTGGTTCTACTGATGCTGCTGCGGATCTTAAAGAAATGAGCTACTGTTTTTTTCCGTTGGTGGTGTAGCCACTGAATGGTGTTCGGCGGTGTTAAGCTACACTGGTTGCAGTGTGTTGTGGTGACGGTAGTGGTGTTGCTGCAATCTTGGTGGCCACACTTTTCCTATTCCGTTTTGGTGGCCGATACTCCTAGTGCGGCGACGCAGATTTTGTATCCTCTTCCTTGCAATTGTGCAGTTGGAGCGGAATCTGGTTTCCCTCGTATTACTGTTTCCATCAAGGAAGGCTGCTCGTCACTAAAAATGGCATTGCTCTCTAGGGCGTTCCTTTCATGTTGATGGTTCAGTGGCACTGTGGATTATCGACGATTCTTGTTACTGGCATCGTCATCAATTAGTCTCATTTGGCGGTCGTGATCGGAGTGTCCCTAGAGTAATGTAAATTGCATGATATTGCGGAATATTGTAATCAAATTCTGAAGTGTTTGTTGCACGGATGCGTGCTTGAAGAACTTCCAAAGGAATCATCTTCAGATTAAGTCCTGCGGTGCAGTGCCGTCAACTTGACTGGTGGTCAATTTAATTTGGCTCTTGTCATCATTCTCTTCTGGTTGCGGTGCTCGTTCCTCTCCGACGGTTGTTGGCTTCGTTTGATTCGACCATCGTTGGAGTTCCAATCATCGTCGTCACCTTCAGTCGATCGGCACTCTAGGTGCCCTGGCCGTGTTGGAAGCGGAAGTTCCTCGTGAGGCAAGCACTGCAGTTACAGCGTAGTAGAAAATTTACGTAGGAAACTTGGGTCGATATAACCATTGACTTCGCTAAGAGTTTGTGTGAGCAGCTAGCATTTGGATTTTGAATAGCTTCCTGCGACAGACATGTTCTTGTAACAATTATAAAACCAGTATCATCAGTCAACCGCTTCTCCATTTTTTGAATTTCGGTTGCAAATCATCTCCCACTCTTCTGAAGGGTTCTGAAGATTGAAGGACCTTGAGCTGCCACTGTGTCAACGGCAAGTCAGCACCCTGGACAGAGCTTAAGGTGTCAATATTAATCACTCACAAGGACCTCATTGCATCAACAGAGAGCTACTACTATGGCCTATGTCAAGAGCTAGATTTGACCATTCAAGGTGCTGTTGGCGAAGGATTGCCCCTAATGGAAACCTCCATTAGGAAACCTCCTTCATCATCCAGTTCAGCAGAAGATCACAAGGAGATTTTGAGATTATTGAGAAGGTTTAGGTCAAAGTTAAACACTCAATTAGAGATTGATAAGAATTAGGATTCTGAATGAAAAAACATTAGATGCTGAATGATGAATTTAATCAAGGATGAAGTTTTAAACATGAAGGAAGTATGTGGATGAATTATTATTTAAGGATGAAATCTCATTTAAGAATGAATTTTTGTCAATGGATGAATTTTAATTAAATAAAAATAAAAGAAATAACTGAATCAATAAATACATAAAATAATATAAATAAAATAAAATAAGATAAAAAGATAAAATTACATTAATATGGATTTTGGTAATAACATGGAACTGTGATGTGACTTACTAATTATATGTGTGAGTTGGTGCTAAGTTTTGGTTTCATTGCTTGGATTATTTAAGACAATTAAAGAATCTGTCAAGGACGAGAACTCGATGAAAAAACAATTCAAACAAGTGAGCCTTCACTCAAAGAGAGGTAACAAAATATATATAAACAAGTATGTATATTGAAAGAGAAATTGGAATGGCTATTGCCAAAAGACAAGAAAACTAGAGACCCTTGAAACTAGACTAGAAACAAGAAAGGAGTTGACAAGAGTGAAGAAGCCTTCACTCTTGTCTCTATATATACTATCTAACTAGGGGCTACGTGGCGACGTTCTATAGGGCCTCCAATATGTGTTGACTTTGTAGGACACATGCCTTGACTTACAAGGCAAGTTTTTCTACGTGTGGGCCACATAGTTAGCTTGATCTTCAAGCTAACAACATGTGTGGCACATGGCCAACTTATTGACCACGTTTCTAATCCAAAAAGTCAATTAAAGACACCTATGAAGTCAAAACATCGTCTATAAAGCTTCTAGGAAGCTTCTATATTAAATACTATAGAATTAACTTACTTTTATCTACTTTTACTTACTTCTACCTATTTGTATATGTAATTACTAGCTTACATGATTATGTCCGTGACATTACCTCCCCTTCTAGGGACGAGTTCCATGAGGAGTGGTCATCATATGTTGAGGAAATCTATGATGCGACGAATTGTATTCGCCACATATTCTGATCTTTGTTCTCTTCGAAGATGATTGATAGGGCCTCTCAACCATCGGTAGTGTCCCATACAAGGGCGGGAAGACCACCTAGTTATTTGATCATTGTTGAGGCCTTCGTAACTTCCTTCGAATAGAATATTTGGAACACCATAAAGAGTTGTTCCTACCTCTAACACAATCACCAAACATTGAGAGTCCCTTCCCAAATCGTGATACCAAACGTGTTGTATCTCGCCATCTATTCGAGGAAGAACATGTCATTTTTGAAGATCTTCATCTCGATTGCGTCGTCTTGAAGGTTGTGACAATCGTAATGTTTCATTCGACAGGTCAGCAAATGAAGGCTCTTGAGTCGAATCCGCTGGTTGTTGGTTCTCCATCTCCTAAGCGTCACTACTACAAAGAAGCTACGAACAAGAATTGAAAGTAGAATGTTATCTTGTCTAGATGTTGTTTCTTTTATAAAGAGAGTTTTCATCTTGATTTTGATGGATGTCATCGATGAAAAGCCTCCACCGCCTTTGTTGCATTTGCAAGATTCTTTATTGGCTCTCATGTGCGTTCACTAATACCATATCCGTGCCAATGGACAAGATATTCTAATTTATTTTGACGCCGCCTTGAACCTAAGACTTCTTTTACTTCAAACTCTTTATTATTGTCCACTTCTATAGGAGGAGGTAGAGCTTGTCGTCTTCTTGGTATGTCCACTGTCTTGTATGGTTCAAGAAGAGACATGTGGAATATTGGATGGATTTTCATTGTCTCCGATAGATGTAAACAATATGTAACTGGATTGGTTTGTGCAGAAATAGAAAATGGTCCTAGCTTTCAATAGTCCAACTTGTCACAAGGACAAATAGTCTTAATATTACGACGAAGTAGCCATACCTTATCACCCAAGACGAATGATGGTTGTTCCTTTCGATAGACATCCGCATTGATCTTTTGTTGTCCTTGAGCCTCTTTTAACTGTGCCTTCATCGTTGTATATAGCTCTGATAAATGAATTGCCAAATCTTTCACAGTAGGATTATCAACTTTTAAAAAGTCAAAAGTATCAAGTCATGGATGATAACCATAATTAGCAAAGAAAGGTGTTTGTTTTGT